AGTGAACAGGAAGTTCTGAGGTTCACTAATTGCAAAAATTAATTCTGGGAATGAAAAGGGCTGCAGTAACCAGACGGGAGCAATCTATGCAAGTATCCGTGTCTGGCTGTTGAATTATGTTTTGCAAAAATATGAATACGCCTGTACCATGACAATTGTCGCTGCTGCGAAATACAGCTCGCATAAAAGTAATACGCACGGAAGCCTGAAGGACTTACTCAGCTTTTCCACCATCAGCCGGCAAGCCTCGGGTTTTACAAGTTCTTGTCGCATTTTGGTGAGCTCATGGATCGCTCTGTCATCATTTCGTAAGTCCAGCTTGTTTCCTACCACAAGAATTGGCACGTTGGGGCAGAAATGCTTAACTTCGGGGTACCACTTCTCTGAAAGATTTTCAAGACTGTCCATGCTACAAGTGAGACAAAAGCATAAATAAACTAAGAATCCAAGAAATTAAAACGACGAACTACGCATAGAACCTTGGTAAGGTATGTTTGCACCTTGGGCATTAACACGCGTGAAAGACGCAAAATGGACGCGATTATTTAAAAGCGTGCGCCTATCAAATAAATGAAACATCCAGAAAGCAATAGTCGTGTGTAACAATAAACCCGCTGTCAGGAATCTAGGAAAATTTCTTATCGACCGACTATCCACATCAGCCTGAGATGGTGAAACATGGGGAAAATTCCAACCGTAGAAGTCACGCGGTTTAGGGCGCGAACTTGTGAGTTCTGTACAAAAATTAAGTTATGGTGCCTGTAGCCCAAGACTGGGTGAGAATATTGCATAAGCTCACGTAGTATAGTTGTTGCGATATTAATATAACCAGCCATAACAAGTTCACACATGGCTATGGGGAGGACGTTGCTAGTAAGGAAATGTCACAGAGGAAGGTCATTTAATATAAAAGCCTATCGATAATTATGAAACACTTACGTGCAGAAGACGCGGTTGCATTGGAACCTAAGCGTCAACATGAAGACTGAAAACGGGCAGACTACCGAATCCCCTTAGTAACGCTGACCAGTTTCGAATACGGTTTCGGTATGAAGCACACCCATAACACTGCTTTTTGTGTATTGAAACTTTGGACAAACACTGGATGAAGGGCGTCTTACAGCCTTTTAGTTATAACACTATTTAAAAACAACAACTCGGCGAGCTCAGGGCTTAGCTGGAACTTTCAGCACTACCAACAACACATGTCTGACCCAATAAACCCAGTGACGTATCATTTGCGCATTAAAGTTTAGAAGATGTCCTTATTGCAAGCCACAGTGAACCCGACAGCAATATGCGACGTTGCACGAACAATACCAACCGCAAGACACTGAAAGTATACTTGGAGGGAACACGAATTATGGTCTGGAGAACAAACGATGGAAACTAACTGTTCTCTGAACTCAAGGCAAACAGGGACGGCAATGGAGCTGTAAACGATTAGCAATGAAAAACACGAACTCGACCTTGCCAACCGGGGACAATCATTCAATAGCCTTATAGCGCTTCGACATAAAAGGCACCGTCGGCGGGAATAAGAATGGTACAATCTGCTTTAGACTGGTGAATCACAAGATAACAACTGAGATCTAGACCAATCCACCTGGGGTGAAACGGCCGTTCCAAAGGTAGTATGGTCAAAGGGCAAAAAGAGTTACCTGTCGATTGAGAAACACATAAGTATAACATCCGTATCAGGATATGACAACGGCCGGAGACGGTCGTAATCCTCTTGGCCTGCGGTATCCCAAAGGGCAAGCTCCACTTGCTTCCCATCAACCTCGATATCGGCAACATAATTTTCAAAAACGGTCGGGACATAAACCTCCGGAAATTGATCCTTGCTGAAAACAATCAGAAGGCAGGTCTTCCCACAGGCTCCGTCACC